AATATGATTTAATTAACATTTTTATATTTAATTTTGTCTAACAAAAATTTAAATAAATCACAAAAAAATTAATGTAAAATTTTTCCAATACGAATTTCAAAATTTAAAATAATAAGATGTCAATAAATTTTTACGGAAAATTTTGAAATTAACATATTTATATATTTTATATAGTCTATAATTTAATTTAAATGATAATGATATATATAATATGAATATTTATGAATGAGACTTCATATTCATATAATTTGTAATCATTTGTATCTTGATTGAACAAAAAAAAAGTTAACCTATTGACCAAAAAATTTCAATGTGAGACTTTACCATTTTTAGTAATTTATAGTCGTTTCAAAAAATTCTAAATATAATATATAAGAAAAAGATCTAAATTTTTTTTATTATATACTTAATGTAATTATTTAATCATTTATATATATATAAACCTCTTTTTAGACTGCCAGCTCAACAATTCACTCAACCTTAGTGCAACACGTGTCTATTTAAGAAAATGCTGAGTTTATTCCCTAATAAGTTTTGTATCGTTTGATACATATTATAAGTGGGCTTTCTCTTAAACAAAATGGCTCCTTTTGTTATTTAGTTTTCTCATTGTCTAGGTCCAGCCCCATAGAAATGGTTAGATATATTCATTGTTTAGGGCTCTTCTTCTTGGATGTCCACAACAACAATGAAGTTTGGGAATGAAAATTGAGAATCTCGGTGTCTAGCTTCAAGATAACGATTCGTTTTTGGTTCTTATCAGATGCCCGGATTCATCTCCTTTAAGAAACCTCTTTACTCCATCGACGCACATCATGCACGATCTGACATTCAATGCTCTACTTATTCCTCTTCCAGCGGTTTTTTTTTCTCTTATATAAAGATAAGCATCCATTCCTTTAATATCATTCTCACAATTTGTGATAATCTCAAGTTAATTGCAGTCTAATGGCTAACTCATATGTTTGTCTTGCTAATCTGAACCTGGCCTATGTTCTTTCACCGTCGAGGTGCGACTTTTCAGGTTCTGGGAGGCACGTGAAAAGCTGTGGCGAGTTAATTGGGTTCGGACATGCTCTTCCTTGATGTAAAGGTCCGTTCTTTAAACTCATGATCATTGTATTTTAAACTATTCCGGCGTTATGAACTTAAATTATCAAGCTATTGTGTTCATATCTTTATTAAACCTCTTTTTAATGAGAAAATGGGGATGGTTTGTTGATTAACTTTCTCTCTTCTTCTCTCTCAGTATAGCTAAAGGAAGCTCTTTTTTAATCAGACCTTATCGCTTCTTCTTCTTCTTCTTCATTGGTCGAAGTTTTAAAATTTTGATTTTTTTTGCTTCATTTTAAGAGAGAGAACGTAGTATCTGGATCACCGTGGAACAGGAGTCATCACCACCCAGTGTCACCACCACGAGAGAGAAAATTTCTTGGACATCAGTAAATCTCTTACTCTTAAGGCTGAAGTTTGGTTCCTCATGATTTCTTAGTTTCTTACTGTTTTTGTTTGATGGGACTGAACTTAATGATATTTTGGATGAGTATTTAGTAGACCGGTTCTTGAATCAGGTGACAGAGATCGTTTCTGGGATTCTAGAGTTGATGGAGTTGATGGTGAAATCTGTAAGGAAACCATCCCTGAATCTGCAGGAGGAAAAAAAAAGATTCTGATTTATAAGAGTCTTTGGGAGGCGAATTAATCTCAATGACAAAGAAAAGTGAAAAGCAAAAGAGAGAGCTCTAACTTAAAAGGAACTTGAAGAAGAGATACGTAACGATCATTAACAAGCTGAGAAAAGATGTCTGTAAACCAAAGGAAGAAGGGGGTTTGGGACTCCGATCCTTGGCGGAGGCAAACTTAGTAAGTTGTCTAAAGATGATATGGAGAATCCTATCGGCAAAATCATCCTTGTGGGTAAGATGGATCCATAAATATTTGATTCGGAAATCATCTTTCTGGAGTGTCAATGAGAAAGGTTCCTTAGGTTCATGGACTTAGAGAAAATTGCAAAAGTATAGGCAAAAGGCAGAGCCTCTAACGAGGCTTGAGGTTCAAAATGGTTCTGATACATCCTTCTGGTTTGATATTTGGTGTCCGCTTGGGAAGTTGATTGATCTTGTGGGTACTCGGGGTTGTGTGGACTTGGGAGTAAGGCTGGAGTCCACAGTAGAGAAAGCTGTTCAATCATATCGCCCTCGACGGCATCGAACAGAAATCTTGAGACAAATTGAACGTGAGGTGCTTCATCTTCGGGAGAGCGGTCTCACTAATGCTGCAGATGTGCGACAGTGGAAAGGGAATGGCGATGTGTTTCAGAACACCTTCAGTACTAAAAGCACACGAATGATGGTCAGATCGGCTACGCCGCAGTGTGAATGGTATAGAGGAGTTTGGTTCTCTTTTGCTACACCAAAATTTACATTTATAACTTGGATTGCAGTGCATAATAGACGATCTAATGGGGGCAGAATGATGAAGTGGAATCCGCAGGTGAACTCGGGACCATCTCTTTTTGAATGCTCTTATGCTGGGGACGTTTGGAAGGGTTTAACTTTGAACTTGCTGGGCGCTCGCTACTCATGTGTATGGTCAACAATACTGCATTTGCTTGTTGATGGAGGCCAGGACAAGGTTAATCTTTTCTTACTCCGCTATACTTTCCAGATAACTGTGTATTCGGTCTGGCGGGAAAGGAATGGTCGGAAGCATGGAGAGAAGGCACGGACAGTTGACAGCTTTAGAAGATATATTGATAAAAGTAGAAGAAACAGGATTTCTACAATTAAGATGCCGGGAGGCAAAGGAGATGAGGAGGCAATGGGGAGATGGTTTTCATCTAGATGAAAAGATGAAGGTTATACTTTGGTTTTAATCTCTTGTTTTGAAATGCTTTCTTTTGAATGCATTCTTTGTACAAATGTTTTTTTTGGGTTGAACAAATTTAACATTCATTCAAAAAAAAAAATCATCGACAACCATAAAAAGGGACTACATACAAAAGCTGACAATATACGATGCGCAAGATGGAAATGAAACACTAAGTATGAAAGTTTGAACCATAAATCATCGACAACCATAAAAAGGGACTACATACAAAACCTGACAATAAAGGATAATACAAATGTCGGCCTAATGTAATATTCCTCGAAATCATTGTACACAATACGCTTAAAAGGACTTTTCTCTCTTCTTCCTTATGTTGGTATTGATAAAATAAAACCCACATATCAATACTTGCGATTCTAAAATATAATAAAATACAAGTAACCCACCAATCACTTTATTTAAAAACAACGAACATGGAAGACTATTTAAAATCCTCACAGCATATCAGGTACTTTATACATCCAAACTCTAAAATATATACAACCATCCTGAATAAGCAAAATAAATCATATCACGTATAATCCTTATTCCAATCAAACACTATATAATCTCTTTCAACACTGATAATGGGCTATACCAATATAAATACATACTTAAATCTTTCAAAATAAATATATAAATTGAATTGAATATTGAATTTAATTCAAGAAAAGACTCTTTTTTTTACATCATGTGTGTCTTTTTTAAACTTTAAAAAGAAATCTATCTTATCCAATCTTTGGAATCTTTCATATTTCACTTGCAATCGTAGTTCTAACACACAAACAACAAAATCTACCAACAATTATACAAAACTAAATAATAATTAAGTTATATGATGCGCGTAGCGCGGACTAGCCCTAGTTTTTAATAATATAAAGGTAAACAAAGAAAAAATATATACAAAAAATATTGTCAAATATGTATTATTCATAATCATTAATTGTCATATATATATATATGTTAATCATATTAGGTAATTCCGTAGTTTTTCTTTAAGAAATACAAGAATATTCTTTTATACACTAATAATTAATTTAATAGTTATTTTAATTAAAAATATAATCTATAATTATATGGATCAACTTATTTTGCTAAGGGTTCTGATAATTATCTTGGTGATGTCACGTGAGTAATGATGATAATTAATTTCTTAAGTGGGAACCATGGACTTGTGTTAAGACCACTAACCATAGCTTAGGAGAAAGTAACTAGAAAAGGGAGTGAGAGATAGTGAGAGGAGATAAGATAAACCAATAGATGTTTCAAGGTAGAGACAATGTGTGACTTCAATGAAGAAGATAAGATAAACAAATAAAGGTTTTGCCTCAATCAAAAATGATTATATATCCATTACAAGCAGGAATTTTTTTGCTTAAGATTCAATTTTGTAATCTTTTTTGAATATGCCTACTTTGCAGGATAAAGAGCCTTCAGAGCAAGAAGCTGCAACTATTTCCTCACAACCGGAGACTGATTTTATCTCTGAGGCCAAGAAAGAAGAAGTTGATACTACTGAAGCAAGCCCAATTAAGCCATCTCACAGGAGTTTCCAAGGACTCAGCAAGGTTATTTATTTGTTTGTGTTTGGGAGTTTGTAATAATGTTTGGCTGAGATATGAGGCTGCTCTAATGAATATATGATTTGACAAACAAATATCGGTTGGGAGGAGGTCAAATCACATCCGCATGTCGATTATGTTTGTATATGTTAATTTCTTTCTGAACATAAGCTTCATTTGACCTCCTCCCAACTGATATTTGTTTGTCAAATCATATGTTCATTAGAGCAGCCTCATATCTCAGCCAATCATGCGCACGTCGATTATGCATTCCAGATACTTATATATTTCAGTTGGGAGGAGGTCAAATGAAGATTATGTTCAGAAAGAAATTAACATATATAAAAAATCATAGCTAGTGAAGAACTTAAAAGTTTTGTTTTCCTCATTTGTAACCAAAAAGTAAATAACTAAAGAGGAATGGTAATTAAAATTTGATGTTTATGGAAAGACCATAAATCACTTCAAATCATTTGAATTGTTTCGTAAATCCATACAAATTTAGCGTCAACTATATCGATATTCTTAACTCAACAAACGAAAGAAAACTAATATTCTAAATATACACATTTAAGGAATTGCCATTTGAACCTTGTCCAACTTTAACGGTTGCACCCTCGTGCTAGTCACATGAGTTTCAACAACCTCTACTTTATCCATCTCTTCCGCCTCATAAGTCCTATGAACGCCATACAACACATAGAACACCGTTACAAGGCACGTCCAAATCGCAAACCTCTGAAACGACAACGTTTTTAGTGTTGTCGTTAGAAAAACATTAAGGAACACTGAAGCTGCTGCCGGCCACGGCATAAACGGCACCGACCATTTCGATGGACAAGGTGGCAGAAGATTCTTATTAGCCGTAGACCACATGTGGTATTGGAAAAACGCAGTGACTGCTATAGTGATTGCAATAAATAGCGTCAGGCCCCACCACGGTTTGTTAAGTTTCCACCAGAGGGAGAACGCCAGTGAGAAAGAAGATAGGAGGGCAAGAAACGAGAGTGTGTGAAAAGGTGCGTTTTGGCCTGTTAAGGTGTATTTGCGATAGAGAAGAGCATTTGCGACTAGGTAGAAAACACAGAGCGTTCCGAGGGAAATCAGCTCCATCACTATTTCTAGATCGGTGAACAACGCAATCGCAGCTGTGCATATGCCTGAAATGACACACATCCTCTATGTATTAAAAGAGAATCATTTAAAAAATTGTAACTTTAAATTTGTAATAACTAAAAATAACTTCAATCCTATGTGTCATACCTCTTTGTCTTCTATTTTAATTTAGAAAGATTCTAGAGCATGTAATATAATGTATAGTCTAAAAATTATACACTCTAGCAATATAATATTCAATAGGCTATAGTTGGTCGCATATATCAAATATTTATTGTTTCACATGCTTTTTTTTAATAAAACCTACGGCAATATCTAATGTAATTAAAATATATATATGAAAATTAATGATTTTAAACAAGAAAGATTTGATAACAATTTGTATACTTTTTCTCATTTTGTTTATTTCTTTATTATTAAAATAAATTACACAATTACATTAATCATATAAGAAAAATCTAGATTTTTTGTGTATGTTGTATTTCGAATTTTTCAAAATGAGTATAAATTACTAAAACTGTTAAAAGTCTCACATAAACTTTTAAAATCAAATTTTTAATTATTTTTATATATTAAAATATAATTATTATAAGACCATATGAACAAATAATTTTAGTTTATATATATTTCATATCGTTTAAATAAAACTATACATCGTATGAAAATACATACTTATATTCTGATATTTGCATTGAATATATATTGAAAATTTAATATTTTAATTTGAAATATGTCATTTTATTAAAAATGATTATAATTATTGAAACTACTAAACATCTCACATTAAAAAAAAAACTGTTGGTGTAAAGTTTTGTTACACAAATATGCAAATAATCATAAAATCATATGAGTAGAAACCTTATTTAATAAATATCCATATTAAAATTGTGCTATATTACTATGTTTATATCATTTAAATTTAATTATATCATATACAATAAATAAGATTGATTATTTTAATTTATTTACCCTAATTGCGAATAAACAAGAGTGATAGTTAAATTTATATGCATACGCCGATTTATTACATAATAGTAACTGATTACTTAGTTATTTAATATATATATTTATTATTTTATTATTTTATAATATGTAGAAAATATAAAATCAATAATAAATATAAAATACTTATTGTGGTCTTAACATAAGTATGTATCTCTTTAATTATTTTAAATCTTAAGTATTTTCTAAATCTCAGGTCAAAACATACAAACGAAATGAAAATAAACTTCAAAATAAATATTTATATCGAGTAATAACCAAAATAAAATAAAAACACAAAAAGAAAAAAAAAATTGAAGATAAATAGGATTGACACGTGAACGTAAACTTCTCATAACCATAACTAATCTTTAAATTGTTAAATCATAATATAAAACTGAGTTAATTTTTAATTTGTTAATTTTTAAGTTTTTTAAATCATTATGGTTATGTTAAATCTTGATCATAATTAATTTTAAATTTTTATTCGTATTTGAAAAACTTAAAATCTTTTTTTCAAAATAATTTAAAATTTAACTTTTTTTATAAAATTATTTTTTTTTTAAATAAAATATTTTGTAAGAAAATATAATTTTCTAGTATTATTAGACAAATAAATAAATTATATTAAATTAGTTTAGAAACTTTATATATTTTAAATGCAAATATTTTACCAACTTTTTCTTAAGAAATCATTAGAAAATTTGCTAATATTCTATCAATCAAGCCCAGTGACACTCCGTTTATTTTCCATCACTCAAACACTGAAAAGTGAAAAGATATATGAAATCGGGTCCATTAAATTCTATGTTTTGATCTACAGTTCTAATTACAATTGTTTCTGATCCTACGCATAGATAATTATATAAAAATTTCAAAATTCTAAAATTTCAAATGCATATAAAAACAACCATATGTAAATTTTAAATTTGTCAATACTAAATTTTTATATTTTAATTACATATATTCACCATGCACAAAGTGTAGATCTTATCCTTATTAATACATTATAAGAAATACAGTACTGTGGTGCACAAAAAAATAAATACAGTACTGTCTAATGGAATAAATTAGATTTTTTAGGTATTTACATTGTTAACGTGTGTGTGGCATATAGTGACCGAATTATTCCTCATGTTTTAGTTTTGATGACATAGCATATACCGTTTTGAGTGGTGACCAGATAATTGAGAGGAACATTAATTTTCTTTTTACTCTTAAGAAATTAAATCATTTATAATGAATAAATTTTTCTTCCCATTCATTTTCATTTGTTTTTCTTTTTGCAGAGTATTATAGAACAAAAGTTTCTTCAATAGGAATCGTCAGTTATAATTTCTCATTCCTACTGTTTTATTCTTCTATATTTTTTTTTCTATGGAATATTCGTATGTTCTCGTTAAACCCTATATTGTTCAAAGTTACGATAAATATAGTTACATTACCGTTTTATATAACTGTACATAATGAGTCTACTATACTATTAATTTAGTAACTAGAGATTCATGTATGCCCATGCAGATGTTTATTTTTTATTTTTTAAAATTTATTTTTTATTTTTTAAAATTAATATTTTATTTTTTATAATTAGTAATATAAGTTTATATATATCATCATATAATTAATTATATAAATGTTTGCATAAATTTTCACATCAGAATCGAACCCTAATCAAATAGAGTAATAAGGTTACTTTTAGTTATTTAGTTATTTTCAATTCGGAAGGAAAGCCAAATCCATCTGAAATTGGGAAGATCTGACTCGAAATCTATCCAAAAAGTTATAATACCCGAATGAACCTAATTTCAAAACTAAAAAAAATAATGCCTGAAAAAAACAACTTGCACATGAACAGGTACCAGATGTTTATACCTAACTGAACTTTTTGTTATTCTTTTCTTGAATTCTTGTCACAAATGAAACAATTTCATTTAAACATATCGAAAGATATAATTATAAACTTCAAAATAGATACTAAAAATAATTATGAAATAGTTAAAAAGCGTAAGAAAAAAAATGTAAGAGATATAATAAAACACTTCAAGTTAGATAGCATATGTGTTTGTACTTCTGTAACTAATGGTGTCAAATTATTTAGAAAAAATAATAAAATAAAGTGATTAAATTTAATTAAAAATAAAATATGTAAAAAATCATTTAATAATATGTAAGTATTGTTTCGTACTTCAGTTTTAAACTAGATATATATTATTTCACCATGATATCAATCAAATCCATCATAGTTCAAAAGGTTTAGATATTGATTAAAATGATATTACCGAGAAAGAGAGTAGCGTTCAAGGGAGTTCCTGTAGAAGGATGAACCTTGGCGAGCCATGACGGGACCAGCCTGGCTCTTCCGATCATACAAAGGTATCTCGCTTGCCCTAACATCGCCACTAAAAGCGATGCCACGATCCCTAGACTCGCACCTGCACCAACCACATTCCCTGCCCAACCCCACCTGATCCTCCGAAACGCAACCGCATAAGACGCGCTCTTTGATATCTACAACGGTGTACATGTTAAAGGATTACGTTTACACTTGTTTTTCATGATAGCTGATGTCAGAGAAGCGATTTTTCCAGATATTTCCAGAGTCACTGGGTTATTGTTTACTAAATGAAAGTAAAGTAATTAAGACGAAAGTTTTGTTTCAAAAAATAAGAATAAGACATGAAAGTTTAGTTACATATTTTCAATCAATATAAGAAAAATAAAACTATGAAGTTGATTCCTTTAGTCAACAATGCTTTTTCAGTATTCCTCTTAAAAGTGAATTTCTATTTTAATTAAAATGAAAAAATCGTCAATACCATTAAAAAGAAATCATTTCCTTTAATGAAATATTTACGTTTCTAAAATTATCCTTAAGATTATGAACCAATTAAAATTTTCATTAATGATATTATTATCTTTTGTTTTTTGATCTAAAAACTATATAATTAAGTACAGTCAATATATATTTAATGAGTTTCATTAGTGCTGGCATTATCATTGTATTCTTTATTGGTTTTTTATTCAGTTTTTAATATATTTTTATCAATAAAAAAATAAATCCATTTTGTTATTCAGATCTATCAGAATCAATAATAAAAGTATTTTCGTGATAAAAATCTGAAAATAATAATAATGAAGTAAATATTGATTAAAAAATAGTGGAAGAGAAAATAAATATGACCATATAAATCATTAATGATTTCAAATGTATGCATACAACATTTTTAATCTATACTATTAAATTATGACTCATGCCAATAAGTTTATTATCATAAGTTATAAATAATAAAAGACAAGAAATCATTATTAAGAATATGCTATTATTCTCACATATTTGTTTTTCCAGATTAAAAATAATGTAGATTTCTAATAATAAACATTTGTTTCAAACCGTTTGTTTTAAATTTTTTTGTATAGATACTATTAATAAGATTTTAAAAATAAATGAGTAATAATTTGTTCTATATTTATGTAATTTGATAGTTAATATACTTACAAATAAATTTAATAATATTTTTAATAGTATAGATACCTGATTTTAATCTTCGAATAGATTTCACAACTTACAAATAACGTAAATTCATGATCAAATGTTATGTACAAAAATATTTATTCTTATCCAAGTCAAATATTTATTAATATATCGATAAATGGATCAATAAGTCTCACTCGGATATGAAAATTCAATGAAAACATTGTACCAAACTGAAGTAGTAATAATAATAATAATAATAATAAGAATAATAATAATAATAATAATAATAATAATAATAATAATAATAATAATAATAATAATAATAATAATAATAATAATAATAATAATAGAACAACTCTTAAATATTATAGATATATAAAAATAATTATAAATTTATTTAATATTTGGTTTTACGGTCAACAAAAAAGTATCCGCACTTTTTGAAATTTTCTTCATACCCGCATAATTGAAACTTGATTTTGATCATGTAACATTTTATATTATCAAAATAAAAGATTTTTTATCATTTGTACATAAAACAACAAAAATAGTATCCGCGCTCAAAAATTTAGCATCTATGCTATTATTTGCGAAGTGATTTTTCGCAACGGAGCTCTCACGTTAAAATTTAGAGTGGTTAATATCGATTATACTCTTAATGAATAATTAAAAAATTTCAATATATAATTAACTATAAATAAAAACGAATTTCAGTGGTTTAAGATTTATCCTTATCTAAAAATATTTTCTAATGTTTTAAATAGTCTTTATTAATCTTGAAAATAGTTTTATTTGTTAATATATAATTAATTATAAATTAAACACGAATTTCATTAATTTTATAATTATCCTTATCTAATCTATTTATATTGTGTTATAAAATCTTTATCAACATTGAAAACTAATTATATTTGTTAATCTACAATTTATCATTAATTAAAAAAAAAACTCATTCATTTGATAATTATAGATAAAAATAAATTTATATTGTGTTATCCAAAAAATTAATTTTCATCTTATTTTAAAAATAAAACTAAAAAAAAAATTCCTACATATTATTTTCTATATATTTTTATGTATACCAGAGTATTTCAAATTTATTTACGCAATAAAAGATAATTTTATTATATTCAAATCTTTTTTCATATCTTAAAATTTGATATTAATTTATTACTAAATATTTTAGCTTATATGTTTTTAAATTTAATTTATGTAATGGCAATTATTATATTATGATGAAAAACAGAATATATATATATATATATATATATAAAAGTTATTATTAAATATCTTGAATATACAAACAATAACTTATTTTAATGTTACTTAAATTGATTACATATTTATTTATAGATATTTGTAAAATCATTAAGTCCACATGTGCGGGCAAAAACACCTCGTTCATTAAACAAGTGAGACACGCCAATATAAAAGAAATTATCTGTCGCCAAAATTAACTTAATTAGCTAAAAACGCGGATATATACTTGATGGACGTGCATTCAGAAACGGATATGAAGTTATTAGAAAAATCTTCACCAAAAAACTTTAAACATTATACCTCATCGTAGGGGACCATGACGCAGAGTACGAGAGACATGAGACAATAGAGAACGGAGACTATGGAGACGGAGCCGATGATTCCAACGGGAAGACTGAAGGAAGGGTTTTGGATCTCTTCAGCAAGAGTGGAAACGGTATCATATCCAATGTAGCTGAAGTAGACGACGGCAGCTCCGTTAACCACTCCGCGAACACCGTATGGAGTCAGACCTCCAGGCTCCACTAGCGCCTTGACTCCGTTACCGTGACAGAATCCGGCGATTATTACAAATCCGAAGAATATTACGTGGAACACCGTCATCACTAGGTTCAGCATGGAGCTTTCCTTCGTGCTAAAGTTATGGTATAGAAAAAACAAATCAATTTATCTTTTTTTTTTTAAATTATATATATATATATATATTCATAAAAACTAGAGCAGCATAGATCGAAATACTATAAGTAGGTTTCACACAAATAAAATAAAAATATAGCACCTATGGCAAAGGCAAAGAGTGAGGATAAGAACAAGTGCGACGGCAGGAAAATCAAGTTCATTGTAACCTTTCGTAAGACCATTCACTTTGATTCTCCAAGCGTTTGGATCAGAAACGCCAATGGCAGTACACATATACTCCGTAAAGCTTCTAGCAATCGCCGCGTTTGATAAAACGTACTCCAATAATATATTGACTCCTCCGAAATACCCGATGAACTCACCTGGCCCAAAAGTGTTTATAGATATGTTCATTAGGTTTCTTATCCTCAAATGTTGTACACTATTTTCTACAAAGATTATACTGCATATTATTTCTCAAATATAAAACTTGAAAGTACATTATCCTACAAGTATATGTAATTTTGTATTTCGAGAGAGAAACTGTTATATTAAATATTATATGTAATAAAAAAGCTTTTCTTTTTTGTTAGCATATGAGGATGAACAGAAAAGAATCTCGTATCCATGTTCTCTCGATCTGTCTGACTGCGACAGCTGATAATTACTATAATTTACGTGCCTTTTCTTTTCATACAAATTTAAATCTTATATAAGTAAAATTTAAATCTTGTATATGTAAAACATCTTGTTAGGAAATAGTAAAAAATAACCTCATTCAATGATAATTTTCTTAAAAACAAAACGAAGAGGATTTCAGTAAAGTGCCGTTAACTACTTATTAGAAAAAAATCTCGACTACTTAAAAAAAAAAACCTTAACTACATACTTACAAATTGTCTCTAGCCCTTTGGTTAGTTGTCAAAAAGCCTTTCTACTGTCTTAGAATTTAATACAGAAAAAGAACACCAACAAAAAGAGAGAAAAAAACAATTAAATAATTATAGAAATATTTTTGTGTACCGAAAGTGACTCGGAGATAACTGAAAGCTCCACCGGCGACAGGAACGTTAACTGAGAACTCTGTGTAGCAAAGTGAGGACAAAAGTGCCGAGAAACCAGCGACGACGTAGGAAATGAATACTGCTGGGCCAGAGATGTCACGTGCGACGGGTCCGGTGGTCACGAAGACACCGACTCCGAGCATTCCACCGATACCAAGAGAGACGAGGTCAAACCACCGGAGCTTGCGCTTCATGTCGGCTCCTGAACGAAGTCTGACTTGGTTGACCTCTTGGTCGGGAGTCCACGTCGCGAGCAGTGGCGGATCTAGAAAATATTTTGAGTGGGGGCAAAATTTCTTTTTTAATATATTTTACATGAATGTATTTTACATTTTTTTAGTAAAGATAATATTTAGAAGAAAAAATGATTTAATAATATAGCTAAAGAAATGTATAATAACAGAAAGAATGAAAAAAACTATATATTAACAAAAAAAACTGAAACTATTTGTTTTTTTTTTTTAAACGTCTCGAGTGATATAAATCAAAAGAGGCGAAGACCTCAACAAAAGTTAATACCTTCTACCTAAAGGCAGAGAGAAAAAGAGTATATGACAAAAAAAGATGAAGGAGCACAACGTAAGATAAAAGAAAAGAAATATAACAATAGAAAAAAGAAAATTAGAAAAGTAAAGAAAGGAAAATAATATAAAAATAGTGAATATAATGGGTAGGAGGGGCTTGAAACTGGATTAAGTGGGGGCAAATAGAGCGCTTAACCCAACCTAACTACAAGATCTGTTTGTAATTTAGTGCAAATAAATTTTATTCTAACTTTTTATGGGGCAGCTGCACCCTTTGTGGGCTGTGTAGATTCGCCCATGGTCGCGAGCATCCTGGACTTGAGCCTGTGTGGTGTTTGTAAGAGACTGTGGAAGTACTTTGACATGTCTTGCTCTTTCGTCTCTCGTTCATACGATTGTAGAAAAGTAAGGTCGTTTGTTTAGCTGGAAGAGCGGGTATATATAACTTACAAGGACGATTAATATGAATTTCGATTTAAATTTTCTTGTTAGGATAAGACCGCAATGCCTTGCTAGGATAAGACCGCCTTGTGCAGGATGAGTGTATATAATTAAAACATAAAATTTTAATATTGACAAATTTAAAATTTACATATGATTGTTTTTATATGTATTTTGAATTTTGAATTTTTATATAGTTATCTATACGTAGGCTTAGAAACATTTGTAATTAGAACTGTAGATCAAAACTTAGAATTTAAGGGGTTTAGTTCATATATATTTTCACTTTTCAGTGTTCGAGTGATGAAAAATAAATGGAGTTTCAGAGGACTTAATTGGTAGAGTATTTCAAGCTCCCTAATGTTTTGCAATTGGTAGATTATATGTATTCAGAATATATAAAGCTTCAAAACTAATTTAATATAATTAATTATTTGTCTAATAAAATCAAAACAAATTATTTTTAAAAATTATATTTTAAATAAAAAATTAATTATAATTATGTTTAAAATAAAACTATTTATTTATACGATATGAAACATATATATTAAAATCAACACCTATTAAAATAAAATTATTTATTCATATGATTTTATAATCATTATAACTTAATATAGAAAAAAATTTAGACCTTGATCACAAAAGTTTATGTGATATTTTTAACAGTTTTACTAATTTATACTCGTTTTGAAAATTGCAAAATACAACATATATAAAAAATTAAATTTTTATTATATGATTAGTATAGTTGTGTAATTTATTTTAATAATAAAAAATTAAACAAACAGGATATAAAGTATAAAGATTGTTAACAAGTCTTTATTATTTAAAATCATTAATTAATAGTCATATATATCTTAATCGCATTAGGTAATTCCGTAAGTTTTATTTTAAGAAATAATATATTAAAGATTTAGTTTGATATGTTATTTAGTTTGATATGTCTTATATGAGAACAACAAATCTTGTTTTATAACTATGCTTTATATAAGATATTTTATAATTCTTCTAAATAGAATTTAAAAGGTATGGAACTGTCATATAAGATGATTTTTTTTTTAATTAGTACAACTTAAAGTTATAACTTTTTAATTGATCCTCAATTAATATATATATATAAGAGATTATATGACTTTTTTTTTGAAACATTCCTAGTCCATTACTTTGTAAGATATTGTAGTTATTAACTTATTATTAGCATTATATATATTTGATCCGTATTTCCCTTTAGGTTATACATTATTTTAATTGCCTTTTCAAATGATTTTTCACGGACTATTAAACATCGAGTTTCATCAACGTTTTGTATTTAAATGTGCTAGAAACAAAATAACCCTTTTTATTCCTAATAAAAACATTAGAGAAAATCACAAGATGAGTGTTTTGTGTTTATTCCATGCAGAACTCTTATAGCATTTTGTGATTTATCCCCTATAAATTTGAGTTTAAGTTAATATAAGAAAATAATAAGTATAAAATAAAGTATATTAGGTGTTGTAATTTTTGATATGTACCAAAACTTAACCCATAAAGTTCTTCTGAGCCTTCTTACCAGAATTAACTTTTGAAAATTTAAAATAAAACTATAGAAGGATAAATAGACATGTTTATAGGATGACAAAACTGATCATGATCATTGGGGTTTGGAAAATTCTAAGTGGGTGTACGACCGACCTTATAACAAGATTTATTGATGAAGTACTTGTATGTTCTTTTCACTAGTTACACTGAAACTACCGTCCTACCCCTTTTTCTAAACCTTTTTGCCCTATTTGTTAAACCGCCAAGCACATGCATCTGCAGCCTTTTATAGTTCGAGTGACCAAATTCGCGTTCTCTTTATATTGTATTATGAATTTACATGATGATGGATGTACTTGAGGAAAATCTTTGTCTTACTCCATTTCTACTCTTTAAGAAGCATCAAGTTTTTTTTTTTTTATTGTAACACTAAGAAGCATCTAATCATCAATACCCCAACTTAAATATTTGTTTGAACGCATCGTTGAACTTGATTCTACATCGCAATATACATATATATATATATATATATATATAACATTTTTCCATTATGCATCAATGAATCCGAATATACATGAAACTCTTTTTTTGTAACTTAAAATACATGAAACTTTAAGAATTTATATTCAGCTAATGGAGTCAGTTATGTAACAAAAAGATATTCTGTTTTTAACTAGATAATATATTTATCTTCCTGACCATTTCATGGCCATTATGTGCCTGCTGTTTATTCTACTATCCATACATCACCTGCATGGTTAAATCATATATGGGCATGTCACATGTGCTATATCAGATTTTGAATGTACAAACATATTTTCCTCTAGTTACAAGCAACCATATGCCTTGATAGATAGTGATTCTAGTTTGAATAACGTTGTTAAGTGTCCCATATTATAAGTAGTTTCAGGGAAATTTTTTTGTCCCAAAATATAATTTGTTTTTTCATATTTTAGTTAACTTTTACATTTATCGGGTATAGTATATACCAATTCAATTAAACAGATTTATTTATGATTAGTTTAGTTATATCTAATTTATATATTAAATATTATTTTTAAAAAGAAAAAGAAGAGCATTGCAAATGACTTTTTTTTTTGTTAAAAAGAATATTGCTTATGATCCTATCATTCTGTGTCAACTAATTAAGTGGAAATTCAGTGAATCACTCCTTAATTATCAAGCCATTGCGGTTAATGGAATAAAAAGAGCTATATTCCACTAGTTAATACACTAATGAGATATTATTGCCTCTTCTCTATTACTCTCTCCCTTCAGTTTAGTTGTATACTAAAATTTTCGTTTTAAAATAAATATCGTCTTATAATTTCAATATAAAATTTATTGACTTTGTCTAGTATTATATTTTTTCAATTGATTGAAATGTGATTAGGTGTATATGTAATTGTGTTTTTTTTAGAAAATATGTTAAATATAATATTTTTTTAATCTATGTGCAAAAACGCAAAATAACAAGTAAACTGAAACGGAAGAAATATTTAATATTCATTTAAATCATCTGAATGTCTGCTAAATGATATTTGTTTGATCATTATTATTAGCTTGTCCTTGTAATTTCTCAGTTTAATTTATCGGTTATGCTACAAGCAACTTTTTGTGTAACCATTTGAAAATTTAGATCATTCTGGAATATAAATTTTCATACAGATTGAGAAATTGAGTTCGTCTCTTATCTTAGTCAAATCACTAAGTGTATGTATCGTTTAGCTTATATGAAAAACAACTTTAGTATCATATCTAATGTAGTATTTGTTTAGCTTGGGATTTAGTTGATGGGTATGGCTAGTTTTTATTTTATAAAACTCAATCTATTCGTACTTTAATTAAGAAGATACTAGATCTTGATCCGCACAACTGTGCGAGTTTCTTTTTATTTATAATTTATAAAAAAAGTTATCAATAAATAACAATACATTTATCTATAAAATCTCGCAAAATATTAAATTGATAGATGTTAAAGTATCATTTTTAAACACAACATGAAAATATAATTTATCAATAAAAAATATTTATCTATAGTATATCTAAATAAATGTTAAAATGTATTGTATGCAAATTACATAAACTAAAAATCTATATTAAAAAATATTATATATTTGATTATTTAAGATTATAATTTATGTATCAAACTCAAGAATATATTAATAGGTAATAATAATCATTAAGAATATAAATTAAAATATAGAAAGAATTACTATATACTAATAATGTCTAATAACAAAATTAAACAATAAAATTATAGAATTATATAATATATAACACTAAATATAAATCATATATTTATTTTTTTATAACACTATCACAGTTTTATATTTATAAAATGAAAAATCTGTGTGGATCAAACTCTATTATATAGTTTTTTATTTAGGTTTTAGGAATATATAGTGCTATCTAGATAAATTTTAATTTCTTAGAGAAAATATGTGTATTTCAAATAAAAGATAAATATATGGGATGATATTATAATTAAACTATATAAAATTTGATAATTGCTTTAAAGAATGGTTCAAATAAAAAAAATTATACATAAATAACTCTTTACTTCGTTTTAATAGTATAGATAGATAAATATATAATATATTATTTTCTATATTTGAAATAGAATTTCAGATTTTTTTTCTAACATAAACTATTTAAATTTTGTAAATAAGTATTTTCGAAAATCCTTAATTTAAATTATTATTCTTATTAAAATATGATTAGAAATAT